GCTGGGATTACAGGCGTGAGCCACCGCGCCCGGCGAATATGTGGATTTCTGAATTCTGGTTTAAGGTATCTGTTTGAGTAGTCATGAGTGCGGATGAGTTCTCATTTATTATTTTGTTTGATTTGATATCAGGGTTAGGCTACCCTTATAGAAGGAGCTATTTGTTCCCACTGTTCTTTACCTGGAAGCATTTGCATAAGTTTGGGATAATCTGTTTCTTAACTTTTTTGGTAGTGATCTCCTGTAAAATTACTGGGGTGTGGTTATTTGTGTGGCAGATTTCATTTTGTTAATGGTCATAAGTCTACGCATAGTTGAGTCCCATTTTGTTAATTATTTCTTCTAGGAAACTGTAATTTATCTTCTAATTCATCAGCATAAAATTATTCATAATATTCTCTTATTTTTCAAGCCACGGCTCTATCTGCCATGTCTTTTTTTCATAATATTGTTTGTGTCTCTTTTTTCTTAATCTGTCAAAGGTTTTATTTTTATTTTTATTTTTTGTTTATTTTTTGAGATGGAGTCTCACTCTGTCATCCAGGTTGGAGTGCAATGGTGTAATCTCGGCTCACTGCAACCTCCACCTCCTGGGTTCAAGTGATTCTCCTGCCTCAGCCTCCTGAGTAACTGCGAATACAGGCACGTGCCACCATGCCCAGCTAATTTTTGTATTTTTAGTAGAGACGAAGTTTCACCATGTCGGCCAGGCTGGTCTGAAACTCTTGACCTCAGGTGATCTGCCCACTTCGGCCTCCCAAAGTGCTGGGCCTACAGGCATGAGCTACCACACCTGGCCTATCAAAGGTTTTCAATATTGTTATTTCAGAGAACCAGCTTTTGGTTTTAAGAGTCCTCTCTTCTGTATTTTGTATTCTATTTTATCAGTTTCTGCTCTTTATTGTATTTTCTTCATATTTTTCCTGTCACATTTCCCTGTTTGCTGAGTTGTTGTTCCTTCATTAACTTCTTGATTAAATGCTGCGCTACTTATTTTCCAGTCTTCTTCTCTAATATAACCAGTTAAGGTTATATATTTTCCTTTAGCTTCTGTTAAAACTCCACAAGTTTTGGGCCAGGTTCTGTGGCTCACCCCCGCTGTAATCCCAGCACTTTGGGAGGCCGAGACAGGTGGATCACTTGATGTCAGGAGTTCGAGACTAGCCTGGCCAACATGGTGAAACCCCTTCTCTACTAAAAATACAAAAATTAGCCGGGCATGGTGGTGTGCTCCTGTAATCCCAGCTACTTGGGAGGCTGAGGCAGGAGAATCGCTTGAACCCAGGAGGCAGAGGTTGCAGTGAGCCAAGATCTTGCCACTGCACTCCAGCCTGGGTGACAGAGAGAAACTGTCTCAAAAAACAAAACAGGATGAAACAAAAAAGACCCAAACAAACCAGAAAGCTCCACAAGTTTTGAAATGTATTTCCATGACCATTCCGTTTTAAGTCTGTGCCCATACATTTCCTCTTTTCCATCCTGCTCTCTGCCCACGGGGCTGCCTGTGGGAACTACCAGGGGCTGCTCGCTGTGCCTTCTGTCTTCCATTTGGGTTCGGCCATTGAGGATTCCCGGCAGGAGACGGAAGAGGAGATCGAGGTCAGGGTATTTATTTCCCTGGGCTCTTCTCTGAGATTGCCTCAACCTGCTCATGTCCCTTGACAGAAGGTCATTGCTTCTTGCATGGTGGTTTGCTCTACAAAAAATCTCATTTGGGATTTCTCTAACTTCTGTCTGTTCTCATCTCTTTGGATGTATGGGTTGTGACAGTTCTACTGTTACTAGATCTTCCACTGTTTCTTGTGATTTCCACATATCTTACCCAGGCTGGAGTGCAGTGGTGCCATCACGGCTCACTGCAGCCTCGACCACCTGGGCCCAAGTGATCCTCCCACCTCAGCCTCCAGAATAGGTGGGACTACACGCTTGCACCACCATGCCTGGATAATTAAAATTTGTTTTTCTTTTTTCAGAGATAAGGTCTCCCTATGTTGCCTAGGCTGGTCTCGAGCTCCTGGGTTCAAGTGATCCTCCTGCCTTGGCCTCCCAAAGTGCTGGGATTACAGGCATGAGCCACCGCACCCATCCTTCATGTTCATAATCACTCTTTTTTTTTTTTTTTTTTGAGATGGAGTCTCACTCTGTTGCCCAGGCTGGAGTGCAGTAGTGCAATCCTGGCTCACCGCAACCTTCACCTCCTGGGCTCAAGTGATTCTCCCGCTTCAGCCACACGAGTAGCTGGGATTACAGAGGCGCGCCATCATGCCCAGCTAATTTTGTATTTTTAGTAGAGACGGTGTTTCACCATGTTGGTCAGGCCAGTTTGGAGCTCCTGACGTCAGGTGATCCCCAGCTTCGGCCTCCCAAAATGCTGGGATTACAGGTGTGAGCCACTGCACCCAGTCAGTCCTTCATATTCTTTAATAATCCAAAAAAGCTTTTCTTTTCTTTCTTTCTTTCTTTTTTTTTTTTGAGATGGAGTCTCGCTCTGTGGCCCAGGCTGGAGTGAGTAGCGTGATCTCGGCTCACGGCAAGCTCCGCCTCCCGGGTTCACGCCATTCTCCTGCCTCAGCCTCCCGAGTGGCTGGGACTATAGGCGCCGCCGCCACGCCCGGCTATTTTTTTTTGTATTTTTTAGTAGAAATGAGGTTTCACTGTGTTAGCCAGGATGGTTTCGATCTCCTGACCTCATGATCCACCCACCTCGGCCTCCCAAAGTGCTGGGATTACAGGCTTGAGCCACCGCGCCCGGCGCAAAAAAGCTTTTCAAGGTTGTATTATTCATCAATTCGTTATTTATTTTTCCCAGTTCCCTGGTTATCCATGGAAACTGTCTCATTTTCTTCCCTTCCTTCCCTCCCACCCCCCACCGTGGAATCTTTTTGGCCCCTGTCTCATTTTCTTTTATCTTATTTTTTAATTTCTAAAAAAATGCCTTCTGGAGTTGTGGATGCCACAGCCTTTATCACCTTTTCTTGCACTGTTAATCTAAATCATATCATTAAATCTGAATTATAAGACTCTGGAAATAAACCTGGTAAGCCTGCAGAGCTCATTGCTAGCTTCTCCATCTGATGGAGGTACAGTAATCACTGTGTTAGTTTTTGTAGTTAATGGTGTTATACCATTTTATGTGGAGCTTGATTTTGCATGGGTGGCTAGTGACTCAGCCTTTAGGATGAAGGGTTAGGGAGACAGAGATAACACTTTCTTGATTTGACTTTCTTCCCTTGCGTGTTTTTGCACCTCTGCATCAAAGGTGAAGGAATCAGCTTCTGAAATTCATGACTGGTCCCTGTCCTTCCTCGGCCCATCTAGAGAACGGCAGCAACCTGGAAGGCAGTGCCAGGACCAATCTGTCATTGAACTTAAAATACTTTTTTTTTTTGAGACAGAGTCTTGCTCTGTCACCCAGGCTGGAGTGCAGTGGCATGATCTAGGCTCACTGCAACCTCCGCTTCCCGGGTTCAAGCGATTCTCCTGCCTCAGCCTCCCAAGTAGCAGGGATTACAGGTGCCTGCACCACCACAGCGGCTAATTTTTGTATTTTCAGTAAAGGTAGGGTTTCGCCATGTTGGCCAGGCTGGTCTCGAACTCCTGACTTCAGGTGATCCGCCCGCCTTGGCCTCCCAAAGTGCTGGGATTACTGGAGTCTGCTTTCTTTTACATTAATCATATCTTCTTGAAACAACAGCCCGGCCGGGCGCGATGGTTCACGCCTGTAATCCCAACACTTTGGGAGGCTGAAGCAGGTGGATCACTTGAGGTCAGCAGTTTGAGACTAGCCTGGTCAACATCATCTCTACTAAAAATACAAAAATTAGCCGGGTGTGGTGGTTCGTGCCTGTAATCCTAGTTACTCGGGAGGCTGAGGCAGGAGAATCGCTTGAACTCAGGAGACGGAGGTTGCAGTGAGCTGAGATTGCGCCACTGCACTCCAGCCTGGGCAACAGAGCAAGACTCCCTGTCAAACAAAACAAAACAAAACAAAACAAAACAAAACACTATACCCCTTGATTTGACATGGCTATTTAAATTCTCCCCAATACCATATTTACTCTTAAGATGTGTCAATTCTTCAGATAGCTCATCCCATCTTTTATTGGGCCGTTTTCTTCGGACGATGCAAAATATGTGGGTGGAGGCTGGAAAGTGGGAGGCTAAAACAAACGGAATCACATGGAATCTCTTTTTTTTTTTTTTTTTTGAGACAGAGTCTTGCTCAGTTGCCCAGGCTGGAGTGCAGTGGTGCAATCTCGGCTCACTGCAAGCTCCACCTCCCGGGCTCACGCCATTCTCCTGCCTCAGTCTCCCCAGCAGCTGGGCCTTTAGGTGCCCGCCACCATGCCCGGCTAATTTTTTTGTATTTTTAGTAGAGACGGGGTTTCACCGTGTTAGCCAGGATGGTCTCGATCTCCTGACCTCATGATCCGCCCACCTCGGCCTCCCAAAGTGCTGGGATTACAGGCGTGAGCCACCGCGCCCGGCCGCACGGAATCTCTTTTAACTTTATGGGCAAGGTGGGGGATCATTAGATTTGAGCGCACCCCACTCATGTAACTGTTTTACAAAATACTTAAAATTATTCAAGTAACACACGAATATATATATATACACACACATGAATATATATATATATATATATATTTTTTTTTTTTTTTTGAGATGGATTCTTGATATATTTCCCAGTCTGGTCTCGAACTCCTTGCCTCAAGCGATTCTCCCACCTCGGCCTTCCAAAGTGCTGGGATTACAGTCATAAGCCACCGCGCCCGGCCAATAATGTTTGTTTAAAAATAAAAAGATAAATAAGAAACTCGAAGTAAAGTCTGCTTTGACCATCGTGCCCATCGTTCTCCTCTCTGAAGGTAACCATTACCAGCGTTTTGAGCACACTTTTCCAGTGTCCTTTCTATATGTCTTCTTAACTCTATTGCATATACAGAGTTTCTTTTTATACACATGACACCTCTTGGGGTCTCACTAAGACGCTAACGGGAGACGTGATGGCCGATTTATTGAAGGAAAGCAGACTAAATAATCGCTGATGAAAACCCACTGGGTGTCAACCCTGCGCTAGGTGCTTTCTTTGGCACGAAGGGTTCTGGAATTTCACTCGCCACAGTCGGTGAGCTGAGCCATTAGTCTAGAGGCTCGGGGGCGGGGACGGGGAGAGTCGCTTTAAAGCGAGGAGGCAGGGTTTGTATTTTGATGGGACCTAACAGAGTGCGGAGCAACTGCGAAGCAGAAAAAACACCGTTACCGGAGTTGGCCCTGTCAATAAAGCTCGCGAAGCTGAAATGCGAAATATCTGCGAAGACCGAAGCTTCCTTCGGAATGTAGGAATCGACACTGCGCCTGCGAGACTAGCCTTGGAGCCCGGAGAGGAAAGCACCAGCAGCGGCAAAAACGATGCACCGGGCAGGCAGCAACCGAGCAGCCAACCGGAGAGCGGGGAGCGCTCCGGCCCGGTGGGCAAGTGCGCCTGCGCAGACCGCGGGGGGGCCAGGGAGGGGCGGGGCTTGGGGGCGGGGCTTGAGGGGCGGTCAATGCGCCTGCGCACACCGCGCGGCGAGGTGGGGGAGGGCGGTCCGTGTGTGTCTGTGTTGTTGTTCGGCGGCGGCGGCGGCGGCGGTAAGATGGCTGCCCACGGGGGCTCCGCGGCGTCCTCGGCGCTGAAGGGGTTAATTCAACAGTTCACCGCCATCACCGGTAAGAGACGCGGTTACCGGAAGGTGGAGGGGGGGGTTCGGAGCGGGCGGCGGGTCTGCCCCGGGCTTCCCCTCACCTTCAGGCATTCCTCCTTCGGGCTTTCCCCACAGCTCCCGTCCTCCCTCCTGAGGAAGAGGCGACGACGGCGTCGGGGTCTCCGGGTTCAGGCGGGAGACAGCCCCCCGCGCTCCCGAGACCCTCGTTCTCTGTCTCCTAGTGGTGTGGAGGGAGATCCCCCAGCCCCCCGCCAGCCCAGACCTGGGAATGGGCCGAGTCCGCCGCCCCCGCCGGCCCGGGGACCCGGGGGCGGGAGGAGTGGGGGGCCGCACCCGGGCCACCGCCCTCCTCCTCCTCCTTCATCCTCTCCCTTCTCCGTGCAGCCCTGCGGGGCGGTGCGTCTCCTCACCTCCGTTTTCCTTTCTTCCCCGGCCAGGTCATCCTGCCCCGGTCCCCGGCCTGCCCTTCCCCTTTCCGGGCCCCTCGGAGCCATCGCCGTGGCCCTGGCGGGTTCGGGCCCTCCCGCCTTCACGGCGAGGCCGGTGGGTTCGGCCGTGCCCGTACACTTCCCGGGGGATCGGCCGCCAGAAGCGGGGGTGCCGAGGAGGACCTCGGGGACTGCGGCTTAGAGGGAAGAATGAGGGGGAACCCCGAAGCCGAAGCGGGGAGGCCTGGAGGAATCCTGGGTGGCGTTTCCCACCTCCCCATAATAAAATCATAAAGACGGAGACGATGGCGCCGGGGCCTCCTGCTGATAAGATAGGGATGGCGGCAGAAACTTCTTTGAGAGAAAATCTGTTTCTGGGTGTCGGTATCCCCGAAACCCTAGGCCTAGGTTGTTCTCTCCCTTTGGACCCCTGCGAAGGGCACACGCAGATCCTCTTACCGCCTGGAGGAAAGGCCCTAAAGCCATTCTCTGAATTGTGTCTTGTTTCCCTCTGATGGTGCTGAACTTTTCTTGCATGAGTTATTAGAGGGCGGAGCAAATGATGAAGTGCTCTGTGGAGGGATTTGAGGGAAGAGTACTCCAGTGTGCCTGAGTGTGATTTTGCCGTTCTAGTTTGTCATTTTGGAAGGAGGTCAGAATGTTAGTTCCCTTTCTCAACGGATCTTTACTTTATCTCGGAATGTGTTAGATGCGGAGAATGTTTCCATGTTAACGTTCCTAGAGTTTAACGTGCAATATCTGGTTAAGTAAAATTTTATATTGTTTTAACTACTATAGGTTGTATACTAAAGTTTTATATTAAAGCTAGCTTTATTTTTTTGCTTTGCAGTGATAACGAGATATTTGACGCATTGTTATCTAGCTTGTGGGCATGGAACATCAGGTCAAAGTTAGTAAAGTAAAATTTGTAATGAAATTGGGGTGAGGAGTTACATGATAACTTCTCTTAATATTTTTAAACTTTGTGATTGGATTATTGAAGATATAAAGGATTTAATTATTATATTAAATATATAAAGGATTTCATAATGTCTAACATCATTGCTATGGAGAAGATTATTGTGTATATAAGTTAGTGCTGATGCGTTATGCTTATATAGAAAAATTTTCGCAGTGAATCTGATAGAGAAGTGAATATCACTATTAATCCTTTCTTTAGATTTCCTAGAGATGGTTTATGATGCCACTTGGGCCTGGCGCGGTGTCTCACACCTGTAATCCCAGCAGTTTGGGAGACGGAGGCTGGAGATTCACATGAGGCAAGGAGTTGGAAACCATCCTTGGCAAAACATAGTGAGGCCCCATCTATACAGAAAAAAAAAAGTGAGCTGGATGTAGTGGCACCGACATGTAGTCCCAGCTACTGGGGAGGCTGAGGTGGGAGGATTGCTTGAGCCTAGGAGTTCAAGGCTGCAGTGAGTTGATCATGCCACTGTACTCCATCCCTGGCAGGAGAGCAAGACCATTTCTCAAAAAACAAAAAGAAGGAAAAAAAGCCACATTATTATTATTATTTTGAGACAGAGTCTCGCTCTGTTGCCCAGACTGGAGTGCAGTGGCACGATCTCGGCTCACTGCAACCTCCACCTCCCGGGTTCAAGCGATTCTCCTGTCTCAGCCTCCCTAGTAGCTGGGACTACAGGCGCCTGCCACGAGGCCCGGCTAATTTTTGTATTTTTAGTAAAGACGGGGTTTCATCATGTTGGCCTGGCTGGTCTTGAACTCCTGTCCTCAAATGATCCACTCACCTCAGCCTCCCAAAGTGCTAGGATTACAGGCGTGAGCCACCTTGCCTGGCCCTAAAAGCCACTTAATTAATTTTCAGGTTCTTATGCTAATTACTAGTCTTCCCAAACTCTGATTGGTTTAACGCCACTTTACTACTTCTGTTGCAACATTTTTATTAGGTGCACAAAAAAACCAAAGTGTGATGAGATGAATTGACTCACTTAATTGCTTCAATTCTGTTTCTGTTAGTCTACACAGCTTGATTTCTGGATCAAGTTGGAGGCCCTCAATCAGTAGACAATGATATCTGAAAATCTACAGAGGGAAGATACCTTAGAGTGTTCTTGAAATACTGTGAATTTCTATTGATAATTTTTGGGATTCTTCTTACAAGTTAGTGATTAACCATTAGAAACACATGATTGGTTTCTTTTTGCCTTTTTTACATGCCTTAAAAAGAATTTTTTTGGAGTTCTCTCCACATATGTTTAAATCGTAGTGTTTATGATTAAAAGGTATTTTACATTTATTAATTGCTGGATGAATTATAGTGACCTTAATCGCTTATGCTCTGATTTCACAGAGGTTTTACTTGGAAGCTCAACATTCTTGTAAAAACAAATGCATCATCAAAAATGTGAGTCCTTATTCCTTAGGCAGGAGGGAAAAAAAGAAAAAGAAAAAAATTAAAATAAATGTGAGTCTTATCTTTTCTTTGGCATTTAGAAATAGAACGGAAAATTGAAAGATTTTAGAAAAGTCTTATTTCTTACTGAATAGAATAGATCTCTCTCTGATTCAGTGAGTATGACATAATGACTGATTTTTGATTTTTTTTTTTTTTTTTTTTTAAAGAGATGGAGGTCTCCTCTCTTTGTTGCCCAGGCTGTTTTCCAACTTCTGGGCTCAGCCATCCTCTTGCCTCAGCCCTCCCGGTAACTGGGGCTACAGGTGCACATCAGTGTGCCTGGTTCAGTAATGGCTGATTAAAAAAAGAGATTATTAAAAAGATAATATCATAATAACTTTTGTTGTTGTTGTTGTTGTTTTGAGATGAATTGGGTCTTAAACTGCCACGCAGACTGAAGTGCAGTGGTCTGATCATGGCTCACTGCAGTCTCCTCCTCTTGGGTTCAAGCGATCCTCCCCCCTCAGCATCCAGGGTAACTTTCTATATTTTTTGTGGAGACGGGTCTCACTTTGTTGCGCAGGCTGGTCTTGAACTCCTAGGCTCAAGCAGTCCACCCACCTTGGCCTCCCAAAGTGCTGGGATTACAGGCGTGGGCCACTGCACCTGGCTGAAATAATTTTGATAAAAGGGAAAAGAACTAATCCTCCTTCTCACAACAGCAATATTTGTTTTACATATTCCACTTCTTGTTTATATACTTATTTTTACATTGTAGATCATAGTATATACAATTTCTGAGATTTCTTTTTCTTTTCTTTTCTTTTTTTTTTAAAAGATGGTCTTGTTCTGTCACTCAGGCTGGAGTACTGGAGTACAGTGGCATAGTCATAGCTTGCTGCATCCTTTACTGTCTGGGCTCAGGTGATCTCCTGCCTCAGCCTTCAGAGCAAGTTAGGACTACAAGCGTGTGCTGCCATGCCCAACTAAAAGACACAGTTCTGGAATTCTCACTAACATTATGCCATAAACAGTTTTTGCATGGTCAGACTGATAAGCAGGTGGCCAAGAGAAGTTACGACCTTTGTAGTAACCATACTGAGAAGCTATGTACAGCATGGTTTGCCATTTATGCTTGCTTTTTGGGTTCCCCCCCCCCCCACAGAATTTCACTAAGTCACCCAGTCTGGAGCGCAGTGGCGTGATTTCAGCTCACTGCTGCCTAAGAAAACCCGTCTTGTTACTTTTATAGTCATTCCACATTTTACAATACTACTGTTTGATCTCCTCTGATTTATCTTTGAATTACTGTTGAACACTTTCAGAAGTCATATCAATTCTCAAAACATGAAGGAAAAATATGCAGCTGGATCTATTCTGAAATAGCAGTTTTTAAAAGTATGTTTTGAAGCCGGGTGTGGTGGCTCACACCTGTAATGCCAAGCACTTTGGGAGGCCAATGCGGGTGGATCACCGGAGTTCAGGAGCTTGAGACCAGCCTGGCCAACATGGTGAAACCCTGTATCTGCTAAAAATATAAAAATTAGCTGGGCATGGTGGTGCGCGCCTGTAATCCCAGCTACTCAGGAGGCTGAGGCAGGAGAATCTGGTGAACCCAGGCGACAGAGGTTGCAGTGAGCCGAGATCGGGCCACTGTACTCCAGCCTGGGCGACAGAGCGAGACTCTGTCTCAAAAAAATAAAATAAAATAAAATAAAATAAAATAAAATAAAATAAAATTAAAGTATTTTGAGCCATGGCAGTATTCCATTAGCACCAACTTTGGGCTGACATCTGTCACACATATACACTAGTGCACATGTGTAATCAGAATAATTCATGGAGTGAAGGTGAGGGATACATAGACACTATAGAACAGGTGCAAAATAAACTAGAAGGTAAGGACAAATGTGAGGGCATAGAAAGTAGAGGCTAAGAAGAGTACAAGAGGTTACTGGTACAGAAATTCATAGAGCTTTATGCACAGTGGCAATCACCTACTTCAGAAAATTATAGAACCTCAGTTGTAGAAGAGGCCTTAATCTTTCAAATTGTTGAGTGAGTACATATTTATTATAAAAATTAGGAACTGTCATGTTTATAGTATTTAGCTTGATGGCCAATTTCCATTCATATTCCTTTTTTTTTTTTTTTGAGACGGAGTCTCACTCTGTCGCCCACGCTGGAGGGCAAAGGCATGATCTTAGCTCACTGCAGCCTCTGCCTCCTGGGTTCAAGCAATTCTCCTGTCTCAGCCTCCTGAGTAGCTGGGATTACAGGCATGTGCCACTGTGCCTGGCTCATTTTGTATTTTTAGTAGAGACTGGGTTTCTCCATTTTGGTCAGGTTGGTCTTGAACTCCCGAACTCAGGTGATCCTCCCGCCTTGGCTTCCCAAAGTGCTGGGATTATAGGTGTGAACCGCTGTGCCCAGCCTCATTCATATTCTTTTGTACGGAACATTTCCTTTCTCTTGGGTTAATATTAAAATGTGAGGCCGGGCGCGGTGGCTCAAGCCTATAATCCCAGCACTTTGGGAGGCCGAGGCGGGTGGATCACAAGGTCAGGAGATCAAGACCATCCTGGCTAACACGGTGAAACCCCGTCTCTACTAAAAAATACAAAAAACTAGCTGGGCAACGTGGTGGGCGCCTGTAGTCCCAGCTACTCGGGAGGCTGAGGCAGGAGAATGGTGTAAACCCAGGAGGCGGAGCTTGCAGTGAGCTGAGATCCGGCCACTGCACTCCAGCCTGGGCGGCAGAGCGAGACTCTGTCTCAAAATAAATTAAAAAAAAAAAATTAAAATGTGATTAAGTTCTCTGTGTCCGGAAAGGTGGTCACAGTATTATAGATGTTAAGAGAAAACTTCAGGAATTTTAACAATAGTTTCAATAGGTGATAATTAAGTTTCAGAATTTCTTTTTTTTTTTTTTTTTTTTGAGACCAAGTCTCATCCTGTCACCCCGGCTGGAGTACAGTGGTGCGATCTTGGCTCACTGCAATCTCTGCCTCCCCAGTTCAAGTGATTCTCCTGCCTCAGCCTCCGTAGTGGCTGGGACCACAGACACGAATGCTCGGCTAAATTTTTTGTATTTTTAATGGAGATGGGGTTTCATCTTGTTGGCCAGGCTGGTCTCAAACTCTTGACCTCAGGTGATCCACCGACCTCAGCCTCCCAAAGTGCTGGGATTACAGGTGTGAGCCACCACGCCTGGCTGAAGTTTCAGAAATTTAAGGGAGGTAATTTTGAGTTGCGAATGGA